AGCAAGGGAGCCTTGCCAATGAGGGTCGTGCAAAAGATAGAATGAGCATTTAGGATCAGAGAAGTCTCCCAAAAATAATTGTCCTTGAAATTCTTCCAACTTTCAAGGTACACGTTAAATACTCTGACAACGTGGCAAAGCGAGAACAACCTATGTCTCTGATTCCCATCAGCAAATGTCTAATTTATGATAAATATATTGAAGATCATATTTAGAAAATGCTCTTTTTCCTAGTATTTTCACCAGTAATAAACTACTTTCACCAACACCCAAGCTACTGGATGAAGTTGGGACAGAGCTATCCAAAGGTGTTTTAACACACCTTCCTCGAAGTCACTTAAAGGTAGCTTGATTTTTAGTCTGGAAAACAAGCATTCATATAATGGAATCAAACACACATCGAAGGAGCTAGATATTCTCTTTGACTCGTCAACATGGGAGACCAGCCAATTAGAGGATGATCCCATATATATTTGGGGACCATCCAAATGGGAGGAATTATTGAAGTAAGAAGCTAGTTCCAATGATTCCTCATCCATCCAGTGGAACGAATCGATATCTTCAGGTGAGATCAAGCCTTTTTATTCCATCTTGGAAATATATTCCTAGTTGTCATGAAAGAGATAATGTTAGTCATGAATATAGGAATGAATTCAAAATATAATATGATATCTAACTCCCTGTCACTAAGATCCCTACTATTCTATGCCTTAAAAGATTTAGTAAAATAATTAGTCTAGTTTTTATTCTGGGACGACATGAGGAGAAAGGAACGAACATCCACGCCCTTAATGAAAAATATTATGGCCCTTAGTTTCATCTCAATTGGAGGAATCATCTGCACCTCAATCAGAATAAAAACTAGAGGGTCAACTATCATCTTCAATGAAACCCTTATAGGTCTAGAGCTATCACTAAGCATGATAAGGTTCATATTAGGTTGGTTAACTTCTAAATGGGCAACATTCAACATTCTTGGGTTTACTGCCCTTGTAGCAGAAGAGGAATCATCGCTAATGGGTATATTTATTACATTCGCAGATACATTTTCTATGTGATCCATAACTAGAACAACAAATGAGAGAAATGAACTATAAATAGAAAAGATAAAGATGGTGCCTAAGAGAGCCAAAAATGGAGATGATAGTTAAAGGAAATGACCTAGAAGATGCGCTGGACAAAAATATTTATACCCCAAAATGAAGTTTCCTTTGCCTCATAGGGTTTACACGTTTATGTTTTGTTGATTGTCAATTTAGTTGTTGGTTTATTTGTTGTAATTGATCTTTTCACATAGTTGTGAATTATATGATTAAGTGCTTAATTGTTTTTACTCTTACATAAACCAAACCATTTGGTTAAAATCAACAAATATATTTCTAGTCAAATAGACAGAGGTTTGAATCAAGAATTACATAATAGCATTGTTCAAGTCACAACAAGTCTAGATTCAGAATAAGACTTTATTTTTGTTTAAATGTGTGATTCGAATCACAAGATTGATTGACTCGAATCAAACTAAATGTGAAAATCAGGATTTTAATTTTGTCCACTTGATTCGAATCATGAAACACTCTTACTTGAATTATAATTTTTTTTAATTCGAATCATAATTTTTTTTTAAATTCGAATCATAAAAGGGCTTAACTCAAATCAAATCATGCCTGCAAATTTTGGACTTTGCTTTTGTCGAGTTGATTTGAATCACAGAATCGTGTGACCCGAATAATAGAAATCCTGATTCGAATCATACAAGTCAATTTTATGGGTTTTTAAGTCTTGATTCAAATCATTCATTCTCTTGACTCGACTCATAACCTCCTTTTCTGACTCGAATCAAATGATTATTTTTCTCATTTTCGTGCCTTATATCAAACACATATAGAAATCATTTTTCGAAATCCCTCTTATAGCATTTCTATGTTTTAGAACTCACAACACACATTTTTCTCTCTAACTTTCAAAAAGGGTTTTGAATTTTGTTTTGAGCATGCAACTGAAATCTCGCTTCATCTTTAACCTATTTCATTTTTTATTGATGTTTGGATTAATATCTCATCTTAGGATGTGAAATTTGTGTGAGGAGGATCATTTTTATGATTAGCTCTTTGTAAATATACTTGAAGATTTTAGGGGGTTGGCATCTTTATGTGGTGTTATGGCTGGTATCGACAATCTAGCAAAAAAAAAAAAAGAATGAGGTTTTTCACTCCAATATTACTTTGGTAGAGGTGTGTGAAATGTTGTGTTTAAGTGTGAGTTGGAAGTCTCACATTGCTTAGAAAAGTGGAGGTTAAACACTTTATAAGTGATATGACCCATACATTTATCACCTTAAGATTTTAGGTGAATATTTGGTGTCTCTCTCATTTGTGTGTCGCTTTTGACCCAATGTAGATGCTTCTCATGACGACCCAATAATGGTGTCAGAGCTGATAGTTTAATTAAGGGACTGACTCCTTGTATCGAAAGTCTTTTTGACAATGTGGTGGTCAGACGACGTGTTCTGTTCTAGTGTCTGCAACGGCGGTACAATTGTATATGGATGAAAGAGCTTTCGCTTGAGGAGGAGCATAGTGGATGAACCCACACTTAATGGGGATAGTGGCGCGTACAAGTGTGAGTTGGAAGTCCCACATTGCTTAGAAATGTGGAGGTTGAGCCTTTATAAGTGAGAGGACTCATACACATATCCTCTTAAAATTTTGGGTGGATATTTGGTGTCTCTCTCACTTGTGTGTTGCTCTTGACCAATGCGAATGCTCCTCATGATGATCCAATAGTGATATAAGAGCCGATGGTTCAATTAAGGGACCGACTCCTTGTATCGAAAGTCTTCCTGACAATGTGGTGGTTAGCAGGCATGTTCCGTTGTAGTGCCCACAACGACAATGTGGTGGTTAGCAGGCATGTTCCGTTGTAGTGCCCACAGCGACGGTATAAGTGTATGTGAATAAAAAAGCTTCCGATTAAGGAGGAGCATAATGGATGGGCTCACACTTGAGGGGGAGATTGTTGTGTACAATTATGAGTTGGAAGTCCTGCTTTGCTTAAAAAATTGGAGGTTGAACACTTTATAAGTGAGAGGATCCATACACCTATCATCTTAAAATTTAAGGTGAATATGTAGTGTCTCTCTCATTTGTGTGTTTTTGTTGACCCAATGTGTGTTGGTGTAAGCCCTAGAGGCCAATACTTTTTTGGTACTTGTATCGGATTATTCGTTTAATAATAAAAGGCATTTCTTTATTATGCTTGTCTTTCAGAATAATAAAGTCCCTAGAATAGTTAGTCTGTTTAATGAAATGTTAAGTGTGACTTAATCATGAGATCCCATTAAACATAAAGACATTATTCTTAAAATATCCGTAGTCAAGCTTTATTGCAAAGTGGGATAACATTAAAAGCATTGAGACTATTATGAAGATAGACTGATGATCACATCTCATGGATCATGGATAAAGAGTTATCAAGTCTTGACATAGGTATAAATATTAGGAGTAATATTTATACCGGATTGACCCGCTATGAGAATACTACATAGTATGTTATGCAAAGTGTCATAAGTTATTCTCATGGTGATAATGGTGTATTACCACCCTTCGACCTGAAACCACTATGGACCCTAGATGTAGAGTCGGGTGCTTTATTGCTGATCAAACATTATCCGAAATTGGATGATCATAAAGACAGTTGATGGGCACTCCACGAAGCATGCTGAGGGACATGAGTGTCCTAGATGGAATTTGCCAATCCTGCATAACAGGAGAAATGTCTAAGGGCCCAATATTGAACTGGACAAGGATGACACAGTGTATGCCTTGTGTTCAATATAGACATAGGGGCAAAAGGGTAATTGTACAAACATATATTATCACGAAAAAGGTTTTGTCAGATCACATGACATTTTCGTGACTTGGGTAGCAGTGATGTGTTGCTAGATACCGCTTACTGTTTATTATGTTAAATATATAATTTAATATAATTACCAACGTTACGAAATCCTACAGGGTCACACACATAAGGACAGTTTGATGAGAGATAGAGAAATCAAAAAGGAACACCGTAAGGTACGGTGCACTTAAGTGAAAAATAGAAATTCGGATAATATAATAATAATTATTGTTATTTTATAATGGTTATAAAATAATAATAAAATAAATATATTTATTATAATAATAGTTATTATAATAATATATAATATTATTATGGATCATGTGAATTGGGTTTTAGCCCGCAGCCCACAAGAGAGTCTATAAAAGGAACCCTTGTGATAAAGCTTTCACTTGATGCAATTTCGTTTTTGATTCTCTTTTCTTACTCAAATAATTCCGTTCGTAAGCAGCTAGCACTGTGACCGGAAGCTGTTCGTGTGGACTGAGTAGAGGCGTTGCACTTCATCAACGCTTGTGATCGCTGCATCAAAGATCTGAATCGCCACAAAGAGGTAACGATTCTATCACTGACCATGCTCATTCGTAAGGATCACTAAAGGAAATTTTTGTTTTCCGCTGCGTTTAGATCGCAATTTTCCTTCAATGTGGATGCTCCTCATGCTGACCCAACAAGAAAGCCGCTATTTATGAAGTTGAAGTATTTCTTATCTTCAAACAGTTCGAGGCTCAAGGAACTTGTATGAATGAGTAAAGATCACTGCAAAACGAAAGCTTAGAACAACATCTATAAGCTGGAAGATTGAATTATAATTTGTATTAATAATTCTTAATAATTAGTCATTATCAATTGATAATTAAATAATTAATCCAAACAATTGAGACATATAGATAAAGACAAAAGGTTGCTGAAACATATAAATAAGAGGCAAATTGGAACCAAAAAAAATGATAATAAACCAAGCCTTTGCTTTCTCCATTAAAGATTTCATTGACGCGTTCATCCTACATGTGTATTAGTGTATATAACTATTTCACTCAATTACTTTAACCCATCAAATAACAAAACATCCTTCCTTTGACATTTAGAAACTGCAAGTAGCTCTAATGGCAAAGAAAGCTTGTTCAGTCGTTGCTAAGGGCCACGAAGAAGGAATCAAATTAGCAACATCAATCTTGAATGAGTTTGGACTTCCACCCGGACTTCTTCCACTAGTTGATGTAATCAAAGTTACTTTTGTTCGAAGCACCGGTTACATGACGATCTTGCAAAAGAAGAAAGTTGAACACAAGTTTGAATTGATTGGAAAGTTGGTGAGTTATGATACTGAAATCAATGGTTACTTGTTGAATAACAAAATTAAGAAGCTTAAAGGTGTGAAAGCTAAAGAAGTCATGCTTTGGCCTCCTGTGTATGAAATTAGAGTTGATGAAGCATCTACCGGAAAGATTCACTTCAAGGGTTTTGCTGGGATTGTCAAAACCTTTCCAGTTGAAGCTTTTGCTACAGAAAATTAATAGAAGAAGTTTTCAGATTATGAAATAAACCTGTCATGTTGTCTTTAGATTTTCTTATTACAGTTTTTTTATGGTTAATTCAAGACCTTTAGTCATTGAGTTTTTATAGATAATTTCACTTATATAAGTTCAATAAATAATTTCACTTGAGTGTCTGAATTTAAATATTCATGGCCATAATTTATTCATGGACTAAACTTTCTGTTTGTAAGGAAATGACGTCCTTAAAAGTTGTGATATTATTCTGATTGTCACTATTGGAACTCTAACTAGTATAAGGAAATACAACTTCATAGAAAATGATATTTTAAGTGTTTCTAATTAAAAATAGGAAAAATCATGTTAAAAAATCTCTAAACATCCACATGAAGGGTTTTTCCTATTTTCTGGGGTTTTTTGAAACATAAAAAACATACTTAGAAAAAGCCTTTTGATCATCAATTTATAATTCTTTTAGTTTCTTTTTTATCCCTTCAAATTTGATCAGTTGACCTTAACACGATAATGTCAGTACACGTTTAATTCTTAATATATAATATAAGAACATTGTCATGTTAGTGTCATCTAATCAAATATGAAGAAAGGTATAATCAAATATCCAATAAAAAGATGTTAAATAGAAGAATTAAAAGACTAGATTTTTTTATTGATGCATATGAAGGGATGAAAAGCACATTTAAAGCAATATTACATTTATTTGGTTGAAAGGATAAAATTTAATGTTTAAAAAACTGGATCGAACCGAACAGTTCAACTTGGTTGGACTCAAAACTGAAGCTAAATTTAGTCTGTTTAACTTTTCAAAATCACTAACGGGTCAAAATCAGAGTAAAATCGAAAAAAATCGAATTGAACCGTTTAAAATCATTCGAACCAAGAGTCAGAGTCAATTTTGTAAAATTGCCTGGTTGAAATCGTTATTTTAATTATTTTTTAAAGAATTTAATATGTCAATTTCAAAACCTAAAAAATTTCTCTTTTTCAAAAAAAATCCTTAGTTTTTTCTATAACCATATAAATTTCTATCACTTTCTTATAGTTTTTTTTTCTTTCAACCATACTCCATCATCATTACGCTGTTCCTTTTAAACATAGTCACACTATCTAACTCAATATTGATTATCGTTCAATTCTATATTATTTTTCATTATCCAATTGTGATTTATTTTTCGTCGTTCAACTCACATTCACCTACTATTGTTCAATTAAGTATATTATATTGTTTAATTTAGTTGATTCTATCCTATTTAATTTATGTATTCTTAAATTATTTTATTTTAAGTATTATGTTCTATTATTTTAATTTTAGTTTGATTTGATTTAACTAAATCTATAATTTGTTCAAATTGTTCTTAAACAAAGGTTGAAATTAAACGTACTATTATGTGTTTTTGATCTTGTTATATTAAGTTTTGTAATAAAATTTTGAAAACTTTATTTTATTAAATTGTGGACGTAAGATTGTGTATGACATATCTATGAAATTTAGCATTATTTTATTAATGCATTTAATGAATAGTTTGATCATATGTTTAATCGGTTGATTCAATTAAACTTTAATTTAAAAGTCTCATCGGTTCGACTTATATATATATATATATATATATATATATATATATATATATATATATATATATATATATATATATATATATATATATATATAACATTCATACTCTCTTAGTGTCTTCCAAATAATGAAATGGTGATCTAGTGGTTAATTGAGTAAGACTAAGAATTTTAGTATCGTGCCAGACATAATAAAGGGATATGACATGAATAAGTGATTAATGCTAAAGGGCTAGGGTAAATAGGTCATTGTGAAGGTAATGTATATAAATCAAATTATTTTCCTCTTTCTTATACTATGCCAAAAAAGACCTTTAGCAGCGCTTTTTTTGGCCTTTAGCAGCGCTTTAAAGCCCTGCCAAAAGTGGCGCTGCTAAAGGTAAAGGCAACGCTTTTTTTCAATGAAAAAGCGCTGCTAAAAGCTCCCTTCAGCAGCACCTTTAACAGCGCTTTTTTAGCCCTTTAGTAGCGCTTTTGTAAGCGCTGCATAATTCCCCCAACCATCCCCCCTTTAGCAGCGCTTTCAAAAAGCGTTGTCTTAGACCCCCCCTTTAGCAGCGCTTTTGCAAAAGCGCTGCCATAGCCCACCCTTTAGCAACGCTTTTTACAAGCGCTGCCTTAGACCCCCCATTCCAAACCAATAGCAGCGCTTTTGTAGCGTAATATTTGTGACCTTTAGCAGCGCTTTTATGTAAAAGCGCTGTCTAATGTCCCAGATTTTAAAAATTTTTTTTTATAAAATATTCACCCTGTTTTGTATATTTTACCAACAACCTGCTTATATTACACAAACCTGCTTATAATTCAGGCCTTTATTTCATCACTTTGACCTTATAAATAAAATTCAAATTTTGGCCTTAAATATACAATTCAAACTTTGGCCTTATATGTACAATTCAAAACTTTGGATACATTGTAACTCATGACTTTGTTCATAAACATTTTAATATACACATAAACCTGTTTAAATATGTTACAACAAAATTCGATCCTCAGAATTACAACAACACAAATACATTCAATTCACATATAATTACAAGTCTTCCAATCCGATAACTCTATACAATTCTCAACCCAAGAATAAATTGACACAATTCCTCTTTAATTTCTTCCAATTTTGCTTTCGTGTAAGTAGCGCACTTGAATTCATCATAATACTACATAATATAACAGATCGAATAAGATTTAAGTTTAAAACTAATTACTCAGATGAAGTATCGGATAATTATCAAAATGAATCATATAACTTATATAATGAATTGATCCATACCAGGACTGGAATCTCAAGTTGACTAGAAAGAATAATTTCCCTCATAAAGCGCAATACAAAATATCCACAGTCAATACCATTGCGCTGCCGAGGACACTGTAAATGGAAAAAACAAACGAACATTTATCCGGATATATAGTTTAAATAGTTTTATCAAGTAGAAACATGCGAGAATATACCTCCACTCTGATCCAGTTGATGTTGTTAGCCTTACTTTTTGGCACCGTTGCATCTCTTTGTGCTCTGAATATTTGTATAACTCTAACATAATATAAACGCATATTTAGAACAATGTCACATAATAAATAAAGATATATAATTAAAGACAACAGTATATGTCATCACTTACGTATCAACAAAGTTCCTCAGATTTTCATATTTTGTTGTATCGCCATCCAATGAATCTATATAATACGCTATTTCTTTCGTCGGATTAATTGCGATCAACAACCAATGTCCACTATAAAATAAGACAACAGTTTAGACGGAAATGTTATATATATAGAAAGGGAAAAATCGAACAATTATAATAAATGAATTTAGAATAAAATCTAACCCATGGCCAGTGTTATATGGCAACAAGAACAACTTCTCTGTAGTCGTGCGCATAAATCTCTGCACTGTGTACTCTTTGACTGTATCTGGTAACTGGTCTATTATACGTGAGTTGACACAGCTAGCAGATAAGAATGCAAATACTGAAGTCAATTCATTCGGGACCAATAACTTGTCATACAAGAACCTAAAAAAACATAATCAACATTAAAATATTAAGTTAAACGAGCAAATTTTAAAATGTTCAATTATTTAATTAAAATGGATCGAAGTACCTGATGTATGAATGCATAACACCGACGCCCAGTTCAGAATGGTTGAAAACCTGATCAAAATCCTCCTTAGCAATTGTTTTGGGATATTCAAAACCGAAAATACCTGCCTCCATATGTATTTGACGGACGCCACCCTCAGGCACATCTGATGTTCCGACATATGTTTCAAGGCACATCCTAAATCGAGGAACAATTGCTTTTCTAGGAACCTTGGAAGTTTCAGGCATCTTACCCTTGCTGACTTGTTGCGACTGCTGATCATGAACCTAAAAGTCATATATAAGTTCAGTAATTAATATTGTATAACAAGATAGTCATGTAACTGTAGTAGTACCTGTTTCTTTGATGCAGCTGAATCGGTATCCCGCACAATAATTCTATCATCTTTTGATTTGGATTTTGTAGGAGTCTAAGATCATCATGTAAATAAGAAAATGTAGATGTAAGAATAACTTTCATGTATGAATCATAAAACATTTGAGTATTAAAAGGTTCAACCTACCTCATCATCTATGCAAATCAGATTTGCCGGCCATGCCACATACGATCCTACTGCGTCTCCCATCACTGTTGCGCCTGAAATATCATCTGGTATAGGTAACAACGCACTCCCCTCTAATTCAATATCAATAGATACTTTCAAAAATCCAGAAGGGAGCGGTTTGTGGTGAAGTAAGTCTCCCAGAAAGTTATGCATCTTTCCCTTGCCAACCATTCGATGAGTAGGTGACGATAAATATAGTCAGCAAAGTGAAATGCCCTAAACAAATAATGATCAGTTAATGTGTCAATTAAGTAAAGTGTGCTAAATTAATTTCAATGTAATATATACAATTACCTCTGGAAGCTTCTGTGGACAACCGGTACTATCTTTGTCACTAGTAGCTCTACCCTCTGGAGCGCGTCTTTCCGCCATGTATCTCTCCTTATCCTTCTGTAATTCACGGATTTGCGCTTTCAATTCCTCCAAAGTCTCCATCACTTCTTTATTGGTTGGATTTTTTTCTTTGGCTGCTTATACAGTTTGGATGGAGTGACACCAAATCCCTTACCCCTCACACGCCCAGAATACTCAGGAATATTCAGCACCTGGCTCAGTAAGCTTCTGCAATCATTGTCCTCGACGGGAGTTATGGTCTGGGACAGAGTCTCCTGAAATATAGATAAAATCATATATAAATATATTACACACTTTTGATCAGTTACTGACAAAGATAACGTTGTACTTACACATTGTTCAAAGACTTGTTGAACTTCTTCCTGAACGACTCCATCTCGTCCCACACGGGCAGCCTTCCATACAACATGGTCCGGAAGAGATGTCGCATCAC